CTAGGTGACCAGGTCACCACAACCTAGAAAGGCAACTCAGAAGTGTCAAGGTCAGACAGAGGACTTTCTGACTAGCGGTGGTGGTACCCTAACCTGACATGGCAGATGGTTTATTACACAGATCCATCTGGAATATTGTCCTTGTAAAGTGTTTGGAAAAGCACTAGCACTCTCAAAAGCACTTGGCACATGATTAGATAAACCATCTGCTTATCACCATCAACTGCAAACTAACTTCAGCTGGTCGTATCAACAGACTAGGGGTGGGGGGTGGAGGGTCGTGCCAGAGATGAAGAGCTAAATGCATTCTGGGGAAATTTGAAACCCAAGTAAGGAGTCATTGAAGCTAGCTCTGCAGTTAAACAATTCCTAACATCTTCGCATGGAAAATGTGCACATTTTAATCACTCACAGGTTGCCACTTTCAAAATAAGAATAAAAATAAATACCTGACCTTCATTTAGCTGCAGATTTATTGAGTACTAGCTCCTTGTGCATACGTTTGGTCTAAACCGGCTTGTTTGGCTATAAACTCATAAAGTAAAGCCTGGATTGTGGATTGTCTTGTGATCATAATCTCCAAATCCAGTTCCTTCTCCAGATATTCAGTTCTCTACTGTTAATGTGTCTGCTCACCAGTCATAGAGTTCTTTTTCTTCTACATTAATTCCTAACACAAGGCAACCCAAGTTTCCTTAAATAAATTGCTGCAAGAGTGTGAAGTAATATAATCAGATCATAATTTTCATAGCCTTGCTATGTTCTTGAATTGACGAAAACCTGCCGGAGTCTGTTTGTTTAGCCCCTGAGGGATTATATCTGGCATCACAGCTGCTCCTGAAGCCATGTGATGTGTCACTGTTCTATTTGTGAGACAGACACCTGAATGTTTTGTACACTAAGAGGCTTCTGGGTCATATGTCTAACCGATGCTTGTAAACGTCTCCCCCAACTCTGTTCTTCTGAAACTGATTCTGGAACTAAAGAGAGAAGTTGCAACGTGGAGCTAAAAGCAGAGCAGCTGAGTTCATCAGTAAAGGTAGAAGTTCCTGCTCTGCACTGTGTTGTAAAAGTGAGCACACGTCAGTATTGTTTGGCAGGTCTATAGCCGTCTCTGATGTGATGTTTTAAAAGGGACTTTAAGATTGAGCAATCCATTGCCAAGAATTGCCGTAAACGCTGGTCTGACATGATTGGGAGCATCGTGGTTTGACTTAACTGTTTTTAAATACATACAACTGTCGTTACTGTTTATTCTGCGTTATTTCACTTATTGCTCATGTTAATTACTTGGCGATTGTGTAATCTGTGTCGTGAACCTCCTACTGCATGTGCAAACGTACTGATAAAGAAGCTCAAATTGATTTGTAATGCGCTTTCCATTGTAAACAGAAGCATGAAATGTTGATAACAGTAAATGTAGAGAACAGAAAATGTGATTGAAGTCCAATCTACTTATTCAGTGCAGACGATACAAATCAATGGGTCATACTTTCTCTGTTGAACACAGCATTCATTAATGCTGCAATGTGTAGCTTTGTTTGACATCTTCAGAATAAATGCTGATGCAGTTTGATTTGGTGTGATGTGACTATACAAATCAAGAAAGCTGATATACAGTAAATCCTAC